ATAATAATAATAATAAGGATAATAGTTCGTCCGACAATGTCAGGAGATGACCCAATACATCTGTAACGCGAAACATTTCATTAACAACAAGAGCGACAACAACAGCTCCAACAACAACACCAAAGCCAACATTATCCGTCTTTGCTCTACATAAACAACAACAACAACAATAAACACCTACCAGTACTAATAACAAACAAACAAACAAGAAAGAAAGGTTTAGGAACAATATACAAAAAGTAGCCACCCCCAACAAGCAGACACCATGCACGAATCACTCACCTGGCGAACGTACAAAGAACGAGGACGTTTCCGACAACCGCGAGGATGCCGACGATGGTGATGAAGATGCCGACGACGAGGTGAAAGGTGTATGGCACCGCATTGCAATTGGCCGAGGAATCCCACGTGACAGCAGTGCCTGCCGAGGAGTTGGCAGCGAGAACGAGCACTCCGTTACTTGCGGACATTCCCGACGGTACCCACAGAAACACAAGGAGTTGGCAGAGTCAGGAGTCTTTCCCTCGGGGTTTCTGCTTTCCGAGGCTCCACTTAGAAAAGAATGAAACAGGACCGCGGCTCCGATTAGACACCCATGAACAGTACAGCAGGAAAAACAGATTTGATCCTGGCTAAAACATTATCTTTACTCAAATTACAAACAAGTTAGACTAGATTCGGACCGGCACGGCTAGCAGATAAAATCCTTGAAACGAATTCTGGAACTTGTCTTTGAATAATGAATTGGCAACAGAAAGGAGACGGGGCCGTTTAGCCTTGACTGGCGAAGCAGATCTGCCTACTACCGCAGGCTGAAGGGGAAAAGTCTGGAACTTTCTATAAAATAAGACCCAAAACATGCAAACGAATAATCAAACCAAATGAATAAAAACAACCTCACTTAGAAAAATGAAAGTGTATGCTACACACGTCCGACCTCGACTACTCCAGTTAGGAAAAGCAGTTGGCTGTAGGTGGAATTCCTATATCTGACACCGGTAAGGGATCCACATAGAAACGCAAGCTATAAACATCAGGCTTCATCACCGCTTAGAAATCGTGGCACTTATCACAGGACCTAGGAGCTAGATCTAGATCACTTAACCTTTATCCCGCTTGCATCATTTTATTTATCCTTCTTTTACAGACAAAAAAAAAACAATTGGTGAAATGGTTTAGACTTAACGCTTCTATCAACATTATTAGATTATTTAAGGAAAAAAAATCCTTCTCAAAATATTTCCACTCATCAAATGTGCACTGAAAGAAAAAGAAAATCCCCCTTTAAAGAATATCTCCACCCACGCTAAGTAATCAACAGAAAGAAGGAAAATGTCGAAAGGATACAATTTTGAGCTCTAAGTTCAGAGCATCTTTCCTAACGTTGTATTTTAGTAGATCTACGACCCTAATTGAAGAAATACAAAAAAGCTTGTTAACTAATTCTACATTTTTTTCAACTTTCGTTTTACGCTTTTTACAATTAAAAATATAATATATCCGGTCAAACAAAGCTGCACGTATAGGAATCAAAGTGAAAGTAATTTGTATTTCTTATGATCAACATCGAGTACAGAATAAGAACTTGAATAAACTAGCTGTCAAGAACGTTTCCTCTAACACATATCTCCTGTTAGCTTTGACAAATACCAACATCGAAGTAGAGGCATTAAAACGACTATTCAGCACAGTTCAACTCACGTAAAATATTAGCACATTGCACCTCGCAGAAATATCCCGGCGGTAAACATAATAGGCGTCTCGGGTAATCACACGACACTGATCCGTGTGTCAAATTGTGACGTAAGCCAACCTTGAAGTTGACTGGTCAGCACGTTGACCTCTGAGCAGCTCATCAGAGACTTTTCTTTTGTCAGTAGGAGCAAAGACAGTGCAAATCTCTTTGTTGGAAGGTAGGACCGCTGGCACCAGGCACGCACGAATACGTTACGTCACTGGGTCTCGTGGTTGATGAGAGGAGACAAGGCTCTCATAGCGCAAACATCAATGCTGGATGCAGGGTGGGTAACTGAAACATACACGAGATATTTTTTTTACATGCTATCGTTACATTCAGAATTAGAAATATAAACTGAGACAGTTAGATAGAAAGACAGGGAGATGGAGGGGTAGAAAGAGAGAGA